CTTCAATAGTTCATTATTTGGGATTATACTTTTTAGACCAATAAAATATTTAAGATATAAATAACAAATATAAAATGACTACTTTTTTGACATTTGGAGAATGCTAGAGCATGATTTTCAAGGAAGGAAGTGGAAAGATTTTAACAAATCTTCACGGGGAGTTGCACTTAAGTCAAGACTTACAGAAAGTGCAGAGCTCCACCATGCAGGTATTTTGATGGGGCAGAACTATGAGTAGAGAAGACAAAGGCAAGAGATGCAGGATCTGGTAAGAAAATGTGCCTCGTATGTTCCTGGGATAACTTTCCCTCTGGCTCCTTGTACTTCCCAGGACAGGACTGCAGAAGAGTTCTGAGACACTGAGCACTGCTATCAGGTCAGTTAGTGATGCTGATCTGTAGATTGTTGGGCAACATGCTTTATTCTTGACATATTTTTCTCCATTCTCTTAGGGACAGATACTTCCAATAATGTCACCATCAATGAGACACACAGCCCCTTGCTCTGGGCTATTGCTCTCACCACAGATAACTATACACATTAGGGACTTCTCAGGTGCTGCATTCTAACTGGCTAGAAAAATTCAGAGGTGCTATTCAAAGTTAGATATGGCTATGTCTCAATGCTGAACACCAAAAGGGAGAAAAATAAGAGCTGTCTTACAAGGTTCCGATGTCTGAATTAGCTACAATCTGAAATATATATTGTAGTTGCTCATACATGTTAACTAAAAATTTATCGGCTTTACTTTTCTCACTTAAGCCTTTTCTTCTTCTTCTTCTTCTTCTTCTTCTTCTTCTTCTTCTTCTTCTTCTTCTTCTTCTTCTTCTTCTTCTTCTTCTTCTACTTCTTCTTCCTCCTCCTCCTCCTTCTTCTTCTGTCCAGGTCTGTGGTTCATTTTCCCTTCCTCTTCTCTTCACATGGATCTGATGAGGGAATCTTCTAGAATATGTAAGTATCCATTCTTTAAGATAACAATTACTTTTTGCTATCTCCTTGCCATCATATCCTCATGTCTATAGCAATATAGGCCAAGGGTCTCAGAAGAATACAGATAGCACACATATGCCATGTTGAAATTTCCTTCTCCTGAGTAAAAACATATTTGGGTGTTTTTATATACTCAATATTGGTTGTCATTTGTGATAGACTTAAGATGTACTATTTGTATTGATTCGTATCAGATTTGTTTCATAAAATTCTGAAACACTCAGTACTTGAATCTGGTTAGGACATGTGCATTGCAGGGACAGGCACTGTGGCTCTTGCCTGCAGAACTCTTGGATTGGCAATCCTCTGCCTCAGGTCACATGTCACTCACAACTGCAGAGTGGTACCTTTGACTTCAAAATGAGTAACTTTTAACACAGACAATTGAAGAAAATGTCAAGTTGTTAGATTGCTAGAGATATTTATTCATTTTTCTTTATGCTCTTTGAAACATATCTTCCTCACTGGCTTCTGTTGCTTTTAATGAAATATCAGTTATTTGTTTCTCAGAGTAGAGAAAATGAAATTTACCTATGTTAATAGCATTTTATTGTTTGATGTAGTGAGTTCTCTAAGTGCTTAATGCCTTACCTGGCCTGCTTGTGTTATCCTGCCAAAATAAGAGTGGTGACCTTGAAGAACCCCTTCATTCTGAGGTTACCTTGCTAATTTTTAGGTCAGAAGGGCCAAGTCACAGTGAGTCACTATAGTCTCAGATCTTTACTGGTTAGGAGACTGTCCTGGCCAGTAAAGCAGGATATAGGAAAATGGGAAATTCAAGTACAGATAAGCAGGCTGTTGGAAAGGTGAAAGGGTTGTAGTGGTTGCTAAATACCCTAACCTAATAAGGAGGGGTTACTAAGTAACCTAATTGCATTCCTTTAAACCCTAATTTCTACTTATCAGGAAGTTGGGGGGGGGAGCGGGGGAGGTAGATTGGGCCTGAAAGTAGCAATTTTCTGCCTCAATGGGCAATTCTAAGGAAAGGCTCCCAATCTCTAAGGTTTATGACATGATTGCTGCAGACAGGAAACCATAAGACATTTTGTATCTTTTAGTGTTCCTTTTGCAGAACTGTGAACTCCAAAGGTCTGTGCACTCACATGCAAAATATTTACATTCTATGGCTGTGTAGTGGCTCTGTACATCTCTCTGTTTAGCTTAGATCTGAAGGCTATTTTCTCAGATACAAGGCTTGCTTTCCTATGTTTCCAGCTTTCATTTTCCTTTCCTGTTGCCCCCAATCCTCTGACTGCCAGTTTTTAATATTCTTGTTTATGGGAGGTGTTTCTTGGAGACACAGATAGTTGGTTTAGTTTTTTAAAGCAGCTAGTTAGCTGGCTTTTAATTTTGAGTTGAAGCTGCTTACCTTCTCATTGTCTGCAATTTGTTTAATATATTACTGTAATTCAGAGACAGTGTCTGAACACTATGCAGTAGAACACACCATCCTTGGTTGTCACGAGACGCCTGTGTTCATGCAGCACTGGTGCTGCCCCACAGCTGCTAGTGGCTCCTGGGACTGATGTCAAAGCAGCAATGGTGTCTGCTCTTCTGCATGTGTGCTCTTCTTAATTCTATCCTTCCCCAACATAAACTAGACAGACCTAACACCTACACATACACAATCACACCACATTAATGCTTGTTATTAAAGGGTCCCTGTGGAGCTTTAATCAGGAAATGTGTCTACTTACATTGGCCCCTGCTTTTGTTGCAGTTCTCCATCTTCAAATATGTAGAGTGGATTAACCAGGGCAATACAGCTTAATTTAGTAAGAAAGAATCCATTTACTTTTAACTTGATTACTGATAGCAGCTTGCTGTCTGCCATGATTGTGTTGGTTTATGTTTTTGGTTGTTTGGCTCATTGCTGTTCTTTCCTTCCTTCTGTGTTCATATTAGGAGGTTTAGGTTGGTTTTGCAGGATATGATTGATTCCTTCTTAAATCTCCTCCTTTATCACTTCCACTCATGAAATATATTATTTTATGTCCTATTAAATGAGACTAAATTGGTCTTCCATTTATAGAGTTCCTCTAATAACATTATACACTGTTTGCTGGGTCATGAAAAATTGCTTTCATTTGTGCTTTTGTTGAAATGTTTTATTTCTTTATCGAATTGAAGAGATCACTTGCAAAGTATAGTAATCTTGGTACATGTTATTCATTTTCAGGCCTTAAAACATATCATGACATGCTCTCTTGTATATTAGACTGATGTTTCTGGTTTGAATGTGAATTTTTGCTTTTCCCTTGTAATTTTTTTGAGGTTTTTGTTTGTTTGGTTTTTTTTTTTTTCTTTTCTTTTTCCTTTTTTTTTCAGGGTTTCTCTGTGTAGCCCTTGCTGTCTGGGAACTCAACATATACGCCACACAGGACTTAAACTCAAAGATACACCTGCCTCTGCCTCTTGAATGCTGATATTGAAAGCATGCAGTCTGTCTTTCTTTATACTTCTTAATCATTTAATTACTTGTAGAGAAGCAGTCTTCTCTGGTCAGGTCTGATTATGATAAATGCTGTATAGTTTATATACTGTGCATACACACAGTTTGGAGGCTCTTCTGCTATCCTTTGATATGTTGTTTACAAACATTTGATATGTTGTATGTGGTTTACAAACATTCCCTCAGCTCCGTGTTCTGCCTCCTATATTCCTGGGTTTGTTCTTTTGGATATGCCCCATAGTCTGAAATATTGGGATATGATCATTATTTTTCTGTGTAGTTTATGCTTCTATTGCTATTTCAACCTTGTCTTGCATCAATGAAACTCATCTTTCTTCTTGGATGTGACTGATGTTTTCTGTTTGATTGATTGATTCCTCATCTTCTAACAATTATGATTGGTTCACATTGAGAGTCCCAGTTTTCATGCTGAATTTCTCCTCTGTTTTTTTTTTTTAACTATTTCTCTAATTTCCTAATTACTGTGTTCACTTTGATAACTTCCTTATCAAGTTCCTGACTTGAGTCTCTTACATTGTTCTTATGCTTACTTGACTCCCATAAACAGTCATTCATGTCCTTTCAAAGGAGAACACAAAGTCTTTATCTCGTAATTTAGCTGACCCATTCTCTTTGGTGTCCATGGTTGAGGTGTTATGAGTTTAGGTGGATGTCATCGTGGGTTGTTGTCTCATATATTTTATGTTTATTCATTGTGCTTTGTACATCTGATGGATATGACTTCTAAATTTGTTCCTTGGTAGATTCAGGCCCAGGCACATATGATTTCAATGAGGTTCCATTTCAATATACCATTAGTCTCTAGTCCTCTAGTCCTATAGCATTTCTTTACTTGGGTGAGTCTCAGTTTAGAATGTTGGAAAAATCATGGCTTCTTCTGAATTTCCCTCATTGAGAGAGACTAAACCAATGGGGAAGATCTATCAATCTATATTACATTTGCCTTATGAGCCTCACTTTGTTTTCAAAACTATCAGCACAGCCTGGTGCTGGTTTTATGCAACTGTCCATCCCTACTCTTGTATAGCTGAACCTCAGCATCTCAGGCTCAATATTAGATTTGTAGGGACTCCCCAGGAAGCACCAGCAGTTTCACAGGATGAACTCATCATAATATATCTCTGACTAATCCACTCATGATGGCTCTGATTCTCTCAGTTTCACAAAGAAATTGTGTGCTTTGCTCTTCCAGATGCCCAGTCTGAGGTATGTGCTATCACCAACTTAAAGAAAACTAATACTTTAAACCATTGTGGTGGAAGATTCCCTGATATAGAGAATATTACACATGCTCTCAGTGGTCTATATTTAGTTAAATACTTTTGAGACAAAGTATTAAAAGAAAGCCACTCAATATGACTGCTTTAAGTGCATAAAGTGAGGTTTTACTTAGAAACACACTTGTGATGTAGACCACAGATAAAGCAGCCACAGTTGGAGCTGTCTTGTCTGGTTGCACAGGTGTGTTCTCAGCGGGGCTCCCTGAGAGAGGCTATGCTTAAGAAACTCTAGTTTTTGTTCAGCTTCCACTATCATTTCATGCACTGTGAGTCCCTTCCCAGAGGGCACAGAAATATGTCACCGAATCTTGTATCCATGAAGCTGAAATGACAAGGCTGAAGGACTTGGCTGATTTCTGGAAGATGACAGAGTAGCGGTCATTACTCTCAGTCTGAGTGGAAGAAGAAATTTGGCGAATAAGGAAAATCATCTCCCCACTAAGAAGCTGCTTGTACCAAAACAGGTGATAAAAGTTCTGAGTTGTCTCGTATGAACACTCCAGGTTGACTTCTTCCCCCTCCTGTGCGCTTGCCATTGACTGAACCTGAGTCACTTTCTGACCCAAACTGGATCCTGCAGAACAATCACAACCAAGAAAAAAGCTTATTCTGTGGTAATGTGAACAAAACGCTGTTGGATTTCAGTACCATGAGGCCTAAAATGAACTTCAATGAAGACATATTCTGCTTGCTTCTCTCTAATCCCTGTTCCCTATCACATCCATGTGAATGCTATGTGCCTGGGGCAAGGCTTCCTGCTTATTCCCTTAACTAACATGAGACATTCTTACCAGAGAAGGCCAAGGCCATCAACACACAGAGCAGGCTGCAGGGAGGCATGTGGCCCATGTCCCTCTCTGTAAATGTTGTCTCCACAGGATTAGACCAGTGTGAGGTCTCAGTGCCTGACTCTGCACGTGCACTGTGTTTTCTATATTATCTCAGGCAGGAAATGAGGTTGTGTATGATCATAGGCCACATGTTCCTTGTGCAGAGAGAAAAAGTGTAGGTCACCACAGACTTTTACATGCTTCCTGTCTCCCTTGGTAGTTAAAAGGAGCAGCACCTAAAAGGGAGACTGGGAAAACCTGGCCCTGCTGAGGGTGAAGCTGCTTTGCACACAGGGTTGTTATTCAGTGGGATAATGTGGAGGATGGAAGTCAGATTCATTATGAGCCATGTGCTGTCTTTAATGCACCTGCAGACAGACCATTGTCATATGTTTACTTCTCTGTATCCATATCTAATAAAGATTAATTTTAAAAAATTCTCATTTGTCCGTGAATTTCCCTGTGAACACTGGGACCTGAAACAATATCCTCCATCTCTGAATGCAGGGTCTGTATAAATTCTGCAGCTAGGAGAGCTACTTTTAACTCACATGGTGAAGGGCAGTGCCTCGGAATGCCAGAAGATCCCCTTTGCTTATGTCTGTGAATCTGTAAGTCATTTAAATGGACTTGGTTATAAATACATAAATAAATAAATAAATAAAATAAATAAAATTATACTTTCTTGATAAAAAATAAATGGTTACAATAAAAAAAAGATCTGAGAAAGAGTGTTGTTGCCCCATTAAATTTTATTACGTGCTTAATGGCATTTATTTACATGTTTTCCTGCTGAACTTCGTTGGATCATTGTTTTCCTTGTTACATTTGTGTGTAAAAGTATACTAAACTGATATAAGGTTGTGTATACCTTTAGACTGTAGTCAGTCCCATTCTTTCCTGTGTGTGCTCAGATCACAGATCTAGCAGACACAGATCTGCATAGGTCAGCAAAAGTCTGCAAATTATATTCGTGATGGGGAATATGGAAGCATACAGGAAACTATGGGGACAATAGCTAAGACATATATCCTTTGTGAAGGCAGGAGAGAGAGACAGAGAAAGAGAGGAGAGACAGAGGTAAAGAGAGACAGAACAGAGACAGAAGAGAGTGAGAGAGAAAGCAGAGAGAGGGAGAGAGATAACTGGGGTTTTTGAAACTTCAAAGCCCACCACAGTGACAAACTTCTAATCATGTACTTCCAAGATACAATGGTGTTGGGGCCCATAAATGGCTCTGCTTTGTCTTGATTTAAGGTCAGAGAGTTCAAAACTATCCTTACTCTTCCAAGGTTAAAGTCACAATGCCTAAATGTCTAAGGTATAACTAATGACTACTCAAGGATGATTTGTCTAAGATGTGGATATCTGACCCAGATAACATGAGATTTGTTCTAAGGTGAGAAATTTAGTCCAAGGCATAGTTACTAAATGTTTCTAGAATTAAAGAAGAATGTCTGCTTGTTCCTTATATCATGGTAAACATGTCTTTTGCCATTTTCCTCTTTTTGGTTGGGATATATAAGAATGTTGAAGAATAAACTTGGGGTGTTCAGTATTCACTGGGTTGCCTTCCTTACTTGATTCTGTTTCTCTCTCTTTTCCTTAGTATCTTTACCTGCCATTTTCTTAATCCACATTCATCCTCTCAGATACCAACCAGGCAACTCAGCTGGATCTGACTGAAACCCCCCAAAGGCAGATACCTACACAAGGCACAGAATATACATTATCATTCCAAAAGGGAGGGAGGGAAGCATAGTAAGAAAATTAAGCTCCAAAAAAGACTTACACAAGATCTCCAACTCCTTTCAACTTTGTTAACCATGACATATTTCTTTCTTTGAGTAACAGTGCACTAACTGTTAGCATCTCTTCTTGGCAGATATGCCAAGACTCTAGCATCACTATCACCTTGGCGTCTCCAAGGCATCCCAGAGTTTAGTCCTGCAAATGAAAGCTGCTCTGCACCTCTGCCTAACACAGCCTCAAAGCAGGATTTTTCTGATCCTCATCTGCAGGTTTGGTGTGGCTGCAGGTGCCTGGAGAGCACTGTGTACTTGCTGCACAGACGTAGGTGGCTAAGGATCTGTGATGTGCAAGAAGAGCTGTTTAACCCTTTCACTGAAGAAGACTGTGAATCTTCCATCTTCCTTTCTATTTGACACTAAATGTAAGGCTATCAGAAGTGCAGGGCCTTCTCCAGGGAACTACTGGTACCATGGGAAGTAGTCAAATGCACTGTCCTCATAAGTGCTGTGCAGAACTGAAGTTTCTCCTTCCCAGACTGTCAGGGATTGGGGACTTTGTCCCTCCTCCTGCTGGCCACTCACCCCTGTGTAGAGAACTGATGAAGAAAATGTACCTGAAACAACACCTACAAGGAAAACTGAACTGGCGCCATCTGTAGGAAAACAGGCAGTATTGAAAGATATGATAGTAAGCAAAATAAAGATATGATAGTAAGCAAAATAAAGATATGATAGTAAGCAAAATAAAGCAGACATGTAGAGATACACAACACATATGTGTCGTCATATGTGAAAACTAACAAAAAAATGTAAAGGTGATCTGAAAATAGAAGTTATACAAATGGAGGTGGAGAGGGTGTTAGTATTCAGGCACCTGTACTGGCCTGGCGTTGGGCTTCATACAGGATGCGTCCTCAGCTATAGCCGCTAAGGGCACCTCCTATGCCTATGTTCCCTTTTAAAAGAGCCCTGCCCACATCCCATTCCTCTATTTCTCTCTTCTCTTTCTCTCTTTTCCCTCTCTCCATTCTCTTTCCTCTTTCCTTTCTCCTGCTGTTCCCATCCCAGGAGGCTGATCTCCCCCCTCTCCTGATCCCTTTCCCTCATTAAAAAAAATAAGGAAAATAAAAACCCTCTGCTTGAACCCTGTCTCCTGGCATCTTTTTATCATGTACTTCTTTTCTTAAATTACAAATTGGTTCCCTGATCAGGAAAGGCTCTCCTGCTTGAAGGCAGTTTGAGGTACATCAGGACCCTGGACCCTGGTTCACATATGGCAGCCTCACTTCTCCAGCTTGCTGGGTCCTTCCATCCAAAATCTTTATGGTTGGTGTGGCACTCCAACTTCCCCACCTTAGGCTATTCCCATGAGTGAGGAATCCCCAGTCTTTGGAGCATAGTTTCTTTCCTTTTGGACTAGTAACATCCTGGTATCAGGCAACTATGGCTTTCTAGGACTCTGAGCCTTTTCATGACGAACCACTGGGTAGCCTGTGCCAGTCTTGGACTGTCTGGTCCTTCGCCCCCTGCCCCAAAATGTACGAATCACCAAGGAGCCTTATGCCTTTCTTGCTTGATCCTTGCTTGATGAAAGCCATTGGACCTTGTTCTGCATCACTCATGTGAAATAGGCCTACCAGAAATCAGCTTCCCAACATGCTGGGATCCTAACCACATGTTTCAACTTCAATAGATCTGCTCTCTTCCACTTGCAACAAATCTGCTGTTCTTTCACTGGTGGCAATGCCTTCTATTCAATACCAACAACTGGATGTCTAGTGGGGTTATCCACTTCTCCATCCCCCTGGAGATGAGGCTTCCTTTCAGACAGAGCACAGTCCTTTTCCTCATCTTCTGGCTTTTCTCAAAGTTCTGATACCAAGCATCTGTGTCTCCCTGGCTCAATGCCATTGGCTGAAGCATTTGAATGATGACTCATTCAAATTTTGAGACTGTTCCTGTCTCAAAATCAGCCCTCTCTGAATTCCTGGGATGCTAGGAACTGCAGACCCTTGGGTCTTACCTCTCTGAAGCACTCATGGGAACTATGTCATTATCTATACCTACTTGCTCCTACCTGGATGTTTTTTTTTTTTTTTAAGAGAACCACTGACCATTCTGAATCAGCTATTGTTGCACAACTCCCAGCTGTTGATCATAGAGATGGAGGTGCAAGACTACCAAACATGTCCAGGTGATGATGTGGTGATGAGAAAGGATAAGGTGCTTTAATTTGCATCCACCAAGAATGACATTTTGCTAGGTCCATGAGACACCTGACTATTTAGAAGTGCCTGGACAGTGCAGGAAAACAGTCAGCTACTCCAGGACATGGCTAGCCCCCAGGCTTTCCTAGGTTCCCCCAAAGATGAAAAACGCCCCCCCCAAGTCAGCAGGAATTAGTCTTGAGAACATGGCATCCTCATCCCCACTTTCTAACTCCTCATTTTTTTATAGTAAATTAAAAGGGAGGGATGTTAGTTTTAAGGCATATGTACTTTCCTGACCTTTAGCTTTTGATAGGATATGCCCTCAGCTGCAACCACTAAGAGTATCACCTGTACATATTCATTATGTTCCCTTTTAAGAAGGTCCTGCTCACCTGCCATCTCTCTCTCTCTCTCTTCTCCCTCACTCTGTCTGTCTCTCTCACTTTTCTTTCTCCTGCTATTCCTGGTCTCCCCCTCCTCTTTCCCCTTTTTATGATCCCTTTCAATAATAATAATAATAATAATAATAACAACAACAACCTCTCTGTTTGAAACTTGTCTGTTTCCTGTGCATTGCTTTTTTTAATTACAGCAGAGGGGACAGGGAAAGGGATAGAACAGGGGAGGCAAGATGAATATGAGGAAATCACTGCAAATGCATATACTAAAATACTACAACAAACCCATTACTTTGTAAAATTATTGTGTGCTGATGATTATGGTAATTATATGATTAAAGAACTGATTTAATTTTTTTCATTCTAGAAGCTTAATACACATAAAAAATTTAAAATGCAGTTGCCCTGGGATAAGAATACATCTACTAGACAACACAGTCTAACAAATAAAAATGCCCATGCCAGGAATGGGTCACCTCTTCTGGTGCTTGAATTAGTTCGCTTTCTATTACTAAGATAAATAAATATAATGACCAGAAGCAACCGGGGAAGGAAATAATTTATTATTTGGTTTACATTTCTGATCATGGGCTATCATTGAAGTAAGCCAAGTCAGGAATTCAAGCTGGAACAATAGCAGGAAACATACAT